ATCACCACTTCTACAGTTTATACATCAAATGATGGGTTGATCTGTCTCCGTCCCCTCAGAGTGTCTCTGCTGCAGGACTGATGGTGTCCTGCAGCAGAACAAAGACTTTAAACTCTTTTAAAACTTGTCATACCTCTGCCATCAAACCCTGCAGAACCACAAACAGAACCTGTGGTACCGGCAGAACCTCCTGCTGCTCACGGGTCAAGAAGTTCTTTGATCAGACACACGGTTTGTCTGAGGCTTACTTTTTACTATGTGGTTCTGCCTGATGGGCTGCTGGATGCTGCACCTCCTCTTTATGCTCCTTAAAAAAGGATCACCATGGCAACACGTGACTCAGCACATTCTGGCCTTTTACCCAGCATGCTTTTCTTCCTCCTGTGTTTCCATCATGGCTGCCCCCACAGATCCTTCAGGTCCTCTTTGATCAGACCGTTGATGCTCAGGAGGATTCAGTCAGGGGGTTGGCAGGAAACAGGACGAGAACAGAACCTGGAGTTTCACAATAAAGCTCAGTGATACTCTTCAAAATAAGAGTCTGCACTATGACACCTTAGGGGTGTCCAAGCGTTTTCATCTGTGGACCAAAAGTATCCAGATGAAGAACTCGTGGGCCACAAAATGTTAGTTTAACTCTAAACGGGAGCAATACTTCGGAGAAAGGACAAATTTACTAACTTTGTTGGAGAAAGTTTTAAATGTTTTTAGTAAATTATCTAGACTGAGCCTGGGGTTTTGATCTGCTCAGAGACGGGACTATAATAACATTATGACCCGGTTCTGACTGGGTTAAACGGGGCCAGTAACTCTAAAAAGAGTCTCCCAGGGATTCAATATCCGCCAAGGAATAGAGTTTATTTTTGCTTGCTACACCGCGCAGAAAGGCTTTTGAAGCATTTATCCTTACACGTCAAACCACGTAAGATTTGTTGAGATCACACTTGGTCACGCCCCCTCATACACGTGACAGGAAGGAGGAGTCTAGGCCCTATGAATCAGTAGTGACACGAGACATTCGCTCCTGGTTCCTGTTCGCGTCATAGACCTGAGAGGCCAGCGCTGTAAACTGTAACCTTTTCCTGCCTTGATTTTAAGGCCTCACAAATACTAAGCTTATATATTTTTTATTAAATATCATTTAATTTATTTGATTTGTTGGGTCTATGTTTGTTGTTTTTTTGTGATTGGAAAGTTCATTTCAATCTGTTCTCAGCAATAAAAGCGTAATTTGTCTCTTCAGGTCTCAGGTATCAGGTCTCTCTTGTAAATGAGTCCTCGAGGCTCAATGGGATTTACCTGTCTAAATAAAGTTTGATTGAATTTGTCTAAGTGTTCTTTTAAAAGGGAGTCGATCAGCCTTTTGGACCATGGAGGGCCCAAAAGTCTGATCTAAGTTCTGAAAAATGGTCCGGTTGTCAGACACAACAGATTCAAAGAAGGTTTGATAAAGCTGATCAACTCGTATGCAGATGATACCACGTTATATTCATTTAAAATGTCTAATTTTCCTATTGATTATTTAATCAAGTGCAATATTTAGACAAGTTTTATGAATCATTATTCTAAGTCTTCTTTTTCGTTGAAAACAGTAAAGGTTTTTGGTGTTTTGTACCATGAAGTGAAAATAAAAACATTATAGCCAAAGGTTTGTATTTTGTTTAATATTGCTCATTTTGAGAAGATTGTTTTTCTTTTTTTCTGATTTAACAAGTTTGCAGAAAGTCTGCATCGACCTCTTCAGCCTGCTCACCAAAATTATACCATTCTTAATCTGCAGTTGTGGGCCGCACAAAATCACTCTAAGGGCCATAAATGGCCCGCGGGCCGCACTTTGAAAACCCGTGCCTTAGATTATTAGAAGGTCCAGATTCCTGCTGGGCTTCAGAGATGATTCATTCATTCATTCCTGCTTCACAAACAGATTGTCAAACTAAATGAAAACACAACAAGATGCACAGAAAGTCTTCAGCCATATTGTTTATTTGTTTATTTACACCACAGACTAACTTTACAACCTAAAACATCAACAAATACCCAGAGATTAGTTTTCAACAGGAAGTGAAAAAAACGTTCAGCTGTCATAAACTTTTTTTTTTTTACATTTTAAGTGCAGACAGTAAACAGACAAATAACAAACAGTCATGTGGACATGTTTCGGTTGTTTTCTTTTGTTTGTTTGTTGGTAAAGTGTTGTATGTGGGTGGAGCCTATATTTGTAGGGTGGGACTACAAAAGGCTCCACCTCCAAGAATTTTAAGCTTTTTAAAATAAAAACTTACAACACTGAAAAACCACGACTGATTTACTTTAAGATCCACTTACAGGAAAAGATGCATTTTATTTTTTAATAGATGTTTTTATTTATTTAATAGATATTTAATGTTTACTCAGTTTTTTATTAACCCTTCAACGTGAACTTTTTTACGCACAAACCGATGAAGGTTTTAAAGACATTAAACTCTGACGTCTGCAATGCATCGTCATCTTTACTGACACTTGTGTGAGTCTTGAATGGATCTGAGAACCAGAACCAGAACCAGCTGAGTCTGAGTTGAATCAAACCAGTGGTTTGTGAGATGTTTTGCTAACAGACATAACCAAACGCACCCAGAAGTTTCTCTGTCGCAGCGTTTTCAGCTTAAACGTGTCGACGCAGAACGGTCCTGATCTCTGAGAATTATTACTTTTGTTTAGTTAAAAAAAAAAAAAATCCTAATTAAAACAAGAAAACTAACTTTTTAAATTCAAAATAAATAAAACTCATATTCTTCAGGAAAAAAAGTTGTTACTTCAAGTTAAAGAGATAAACATCTTGAGAAACAGAGTCGTTATCTTGACATAAAGATATAAATAAGTTATCTGGACCCTCCTGCTGCCCTCGGGTCAAACTGACCCACAACTGAAGCCTCGTGGGTCATTTTGACCCGAGGGCAGCAGGAGGTTTAAGAAACTGAGCGTAAGATAAAATAAATTAGTTGTTATCTCGAGGTTTCATGGAAATACATTTCCCAGCATGTCCTCTCCAGGCTTTTGTAGAAACAAAGTAAAAACAAAACAACCAAACGTACCCAGATCATCTGGTTTTTCTCTTTTTAATAAAAAAAATCTGACATTCATTCAGAAATCTGCATCATTCTGACCGAGCTTCAGGTCTTCATCGATCTGTTCACACTTTAGGGACAAACAGACGATCGGAACAGAATAAAAACATTTATCACAAACAGAGGATTGTCACAGTAGCTTCTATTTACAACATTTTCAAAGATTACGACCAGAAACTGATCCTCGGATCGCCAAAGGGTCTCTGATGAAACAAATAACCATAAATATCAATCGATATTTATTTTTTTTCATTCTGCAGGAGTTGAACATAAATGTTTTTTTTTGTCCTTTTGACTCCAGTTTTTATTCTGAGTTCTCACACTCGCTGCAGTTTTCACGCTCAGACACTAAAACACGTTGAACATTTATTTAGTCGCATGGAGCTGTAAAACTAGGTCGTTTTTCAAAATAAGAGCTGAGGAATTTACACCCTTGGTGACGGCTGCTTGTTTTGTCTTTTCTGGAGCTTTGAGGCAGAAAATGAAAAGTTGGAGGTTAAAACGATGAAAGTGGAGCTGAGTCCAGGGAGAACGTCTTCGTTTGAACAGTCGTTACATTTCTGAAGGTTTGGCCTCGCTCCACAACGAACTTCATCATCGTCAGCAACGATGAAAACTTTGATCCTTTTGGTTTGTTCTCTGAATTATTTCACTTTGAAATCTTCAAAACTCGTCTAAATGAAATAAAAACATTTTACTTGCTGCAAAATCATTTCAGTGTTTGATGTATGGACAAACTTCAGCACCATTCATAGGGATCACAACCAAACATCTGCAGTTGTCTGAACATCTGCAGCTGTGGCAATCAGAACATCTGCAGCTGCTTGAACATCTGCCGCTGTCTGAACATCTGCAGCTGTCTGAACATCTGCAACTGAACACCTGCAGCTGTCTGAAAATCTGCAGCTGTCTGAACACCTGCAGCTGTCTGAACATCTGCAGCTGTGGCAATCTGAACATCTGCAGCTGTCTGAACACCTGCAGCTGCTTGAACATCTGCTGCTGTCTGAACATCTGCAACAGTTTGAACACCTGCAGCTGTCTGAACATCTGCAGCTGTGGCTATCTGAACATCTGCAGCTGTCTGAACATCTGCAGCTGTCTGAACACCTGCAGCTGCTTGAACATCTGCTGCTGTCTGAACATCTGCAACTGTTTGAACACCTGCAGCTGCTTGAACATCTGCTGCTGTCTGAACATCTGCTGCTGTCTGAACATCTGCAACTGTTTGAACACCTGCAGCTGTCTGAACGTCTGCTGCTGTCTGAACATCTGCAGCTGTTTCCAACAGACATTAATAAACTGCAGAGGAATCAGACGAGCTGTTCAGTCCACATATTTCTGCAAACGTTTGGCTCCATTTAGTCACAAAGTGTCTTTGTTGTGTCTCAGTTTGATCACAGTTCAGTCTCTCCTTTGTCTCAGATGTGTCTCAGTTTGGTTTCAGAGGTCTGCAGACCGTCCTGCAGGCGTCTCACACATCTTCAGCTTCCTGACTCACAGAAACCAAACTGAGAAGACACATACCAGACGTCTGCACGAACATAAACCTTTGAGCAGGATCAAAATCTGACGACCCTCAGCGACTCACGAGGAACTGGAGAACCGTGACAAACATTTTGAGACATTTTATAAACTGAATGTTTGTCTCAGCCCGGTGAGAGACGAGCTGAAGCAGAAAGAAAACGGCCTTGAAAACAAACACTCAGAAAAACTCAAGGTCTTTGGGCTTCAGTGTTTTTGCCTTCCTGAGGGTCATTAGGGTCTTTGATGGTCTGGTGGGCATCACTCATGTGGACCAGGCTGAGACTTTACTGACCCTCAGGAGGGAGGGGAGGGTGAATGATTTGCAGATGAGTTCAGTGACAGCCAGTTCTGTTTTCTGACCTTCTGGGATGATGGAGCTGTCGTGACGTGAGAACTTCAAACCTTCGTGTGGATTCATTTAGTGACGTACGACAACAAGCGCACCTGATCGTTGGGTCCCTCCTCTTCCTCGCCCCTCCCCCTCTTCTTCTTCCTTCACGCCTCCAGCAGCCACCAGTGCCTGCGTCGAGTCACACGACTGTTTCTCAGCATCGTCGTCGTACGTTGAGTCCAGCCGCTGTTCTTCAGCTTCTCTTCTTTGTCGGAGCTTCAGAGTGAACGCTCCCATGCAGGTACATTTGGTCAGCGCCACCAGCTCCTCCCTGGCGAGTGGGCTGAAGAGCAGGTAGAGCAGCGGGTTGACGCAGGCGGGAAGCGGCACCACGAGCAACAGGACGCCCTTTGCGGCCTCCGGCCCGGCGACAGGAAGCTGCAGGAGGGAGGAGAAGGAGAGGAAGGCCATGGGGAGGTAGAGGAGGCAATCGGAGAAGAGCAGCCAGGCAACGTGACGAGTCAACGCTACCTCCTCTTCTGAAGTGGGCGGGGCTTTGCTGGAGCGGCAGTACAGACGAATGTAGGCGAGCGTCATGAGGAGGAAACAAAGGGAGTCAAAGAGTACCAGGAAGACGGAGAATGCCAGGGAGGAGGAGGAGGAAGGCAGGGGTAAACAAAAGGAGGTGCGGCTTTGCCCGTTCATCAGCGGCGGCAGCGTGACGGCGATGCCAAACAGGAAACACAGACAGATCGACAGATGGAGGAAGAGTGACGATGAGGAGCGACCTGCAGAAACAGAAACCCTCATTAGACGTTGATCGTGTTCCTATTGTTTCTGATGCTGTGCAGATGTTTCCTCACCGTTCCTGCCGTCAGGCTTACTGCTCCGTGCTGCTCCGTTAGCCGACAGGCATCGCTCCAAAGCTGCGAGGGTCAGCAGGAAGAGTCCGGTCTGAGACGCAAACACGCACAGGAAGCCGCTGAGGCGACACAGGAAGCTGCTCTCCCACCTGACCCCGAACCTGCAGCACAAAAACGTTCAATTAATCTGCGATCCAACAAGGACACGAGGTCCAGCAGGTCTCTGGTTCTGGTTTCAAACCTCCAAAAGCTGCCGAACGTCCAGGCGTCTACCGCCGCCAACCAGCTGCTCCACACTCCCATCAGGCCGTTCACCAGAGCCAGCAGACCAATCAGCAGCTTGGGGGGCGTGACCGTGCTGACCGGAGAAAAGAAGACGGACAGGATGACCAGACCGTTGCTGACCAATGAGACGGCTGCGATGAGCCACACCCCGCCTCGGACCATCCAGCTGCCGAGCAGACGGAGGCAGGGATGGAGCGGCCCTGCAGGGAGCACAAACCACCACTTTAACAACACTACATCCAAACCTTTGCAACTGTGAAGAAAATCAATAAGAAAGTTTCATTACCTGGAGTTGGACTGCAGTGAACCGAGTGTCGAGGTTTTGGCTCGTCTTCAAACTCCAGCAGGAAGTCCTCCCAGTCCTGGTCCACTGCAGAGAGCCACAGAACCATCACGATCCAAACTTACTACATGTAGCATCACGTTCAAACTATTCCACAGCTTCTTTTGTTTCCTGTCGCTGAGTGAGGGGGAGCTGGAAAAACCCTCCGTCCAGCCGTGCACGTTCTGAGCACGATAACGTGAATAATTTTTTTTCATTTACCCATTATTTATCCAGGTAGTGTCATTGAGCTACGAGAACTCGCTTTCAAGAGAGACCTGTTTAGAGAGCAGATGGGGGTTAAGGGCCTTGCTCATGGGCTCAGAGTGGGGCCAATGAGGATGGGGGCAGGTGTGCATAGAGGTGTGGGGGCAGGCATAGATAACGTGAATAATAAGTGAGGTTCCATTCTGGTGTGTGGCTGCATCAAGGTTTCCTTTCAAAAACTGGGTGGCCACATCAAAATCCAAGATGGCTGCCTGACACCATTATGTGTGTATATATATATATATATATATATATATATATATATATATAGGATATTTGCACTGCGGCCGTGTGGTCAACATCCTGTTCATTTATTTGCTTTTACCTACGTGATGTGACGGCTCGTTCCATGACACATTCTGTCCTTAGTGTTTACAGAATGAATGTTGTTGTTTCATGGAACTCCGTTTAAACTCACATCTGTCTGCATGCATTACAGTGTGAGATGTTGTTATCAATCTCAAGCTGTGACTGTTGTTCTTGTTCTATTGTCACTAATCAGTTCATGACTACTGTCATCAATCAGTTCATTTGATTAATAATCAGTTTATTTATTATTAATATGTTCATGTTGAAGAGCCGTGGATCTGCTCTGTTCACGGCCTTTTTCAGCCTCTCCTCTTTTTCTGTTGAAAACCTTTCTGGGGCGTTCATGCACTCGGAACGTGTAAATTACGCAGTACGTGTCTGTGCATGGTGCGCGTAATTTACGCAATGCATATTTACGCACACGGAGAGCTGAGTGACAAGATTTTTTGGGGGGCAAGCGGGCACTTCTTATGGTGTTCGAATGGACCCAGTGAGGCGGAGACTACATCTGCGTCGCCTTTAACCCACCAACGACAGCTCTTAAAGGGCGAAGCCTATATGAAATACAACGTTGGTTACGTACTGTAACCCCAGATTCTGAGTATAGGCATAGCCCTTGAAGCGTCGGGCCTCACTGGCTCCTAAATGGCTGAAGAAAAAGCTCTTTGGGAGCAGATTACCCGCTCTTAACGTAATTTATACGGACCGGGTGGGGCCCACACAGCAGGTGGGCGTGGACTAAATATTTTCAGTGCGATGCTTTGCATGACGGGATAAACTCACCAGCGACAGCCTTAAAGGGCGAAGCCTATACTCATAGAATCTGGGGTTACAGTACGTAACCAACAATTTTGAAGCTGTGACTCCGGCCTCATTCCACTCTTTCTAGATCTCTGACAGATTCTGGATCTTCTCTGGTTGATAATCCGCTGAAGCCCACGGTCATCTCTGTTGCTGGTGCATCTTCTCCTGCCACATGTTGTCCTTCCACTAGACTTTCCATTGATGTGCTTGGACACAGCGCTCTGTGAACAGCCAGCCTCCTTAGCTATGAACTTTTGTGGCTTACCCATCCTATGGAGGGCATCAATGATGGTCTTCTGGTCAGTTTTTATGTCTGCAGTCTTCCCCAGATTGAACCGAACTGAGACAACTGAACCAAACTGAAGCAGTTTAAAGACACCTGGGGAAACCTGTGCAGGTGCTTTGAGTTTAGTAGATGATTAGTGTCACACTCAGTTTAAAACATTCATGAACTGCTAAATTTGGGCTGATTTCTCCACAGTATTATAATTTTTTGCATTCCTGTTTTCGTGGGTTTCATGAGCTGGAAGCTCAAATTATGTAAAAAAATAAACAAATAAATATTTGAAATTGTTTAAATTGTGGGCCCTGAATCTATCATCTATTCAAGATTAACTTTTTGAATGGAATTATGGAAGTTAAACAACTTTTCCATGATTTTCTAATTATTTGGAAAGTGTCTGTATACATATATATACATATATATATATATATATATATATA